TGTATGGGCACAGGAGGGATGTCTCTGCCTCCCACCAGTATGGCAGAGCTGAGGAAACTGAGGCACAGGGAGGCAACACCTGGGAATGAGCTGTGGCATTTCTGCAGATCAACCCATCAGCTGCGACCAACGTGGGTGGTTTGGACCCAAAGAGGTCCTAAAGCGGCCCCCCTCCAGCTTTGGAGCTTCCCTGCTCTCACAGAACAACATCAGCTCCGCGAGTGACGGGTGGGAGAGCCCTGCGCGCACACCAGCAGAAGAGCCTTCGTCCCCAAAGCGCCACCAGCTCTTGTGCAGACCAGGAGCTGCAGCCACGCAATCCATGTCACTCCAAAACTCAGCACGGAGGGTGCTGGGGAATCACCTTCACAGCGGGTCGGGCGGTCGTGGGCCAGAGCCCACACCAGCCACATCCCTGCCCTTGGGGAGTCATAGCCCGGTGGGAGCCAATGCATTTTTTTGGGGACACAAAAAAACCCCACCGCCTCAGTTCCCCACCTGGGTCCGCCTGGCTATTCCTGTGTCGCTTCCCCACTGCTGTGAGGCCCATTGAGATCTGGAGAGCCTCAGTTTTCTTAAAGCCTCTGCTTTTTTGTGCTTTTCTTTCAACTCGTGCTCTCTTTCCTCATCCCACTGGAGATAACACAGGGCAGAGGAGCCCCTGGGGCTTGTCCACCCACTCCCTCCCTTTATGTCTGGTTAAGGCTTCACTGTGGGCTTTGGTGGTGCCTCTGTAAAATGATGCTCGGTGCTGCTTTGTGTCCCGAAGCTTTCCTAAGGCCAGGAGGGGGAAAAAAAAAGGCAAAAAAAAAAAAACCAAAAAGGCAGAAAGCCACAATGATGGAGGTGGAAAGGTGAAACAGGGCCACAGGCAGGGCCGCCGAGGTGCAGGGTACCCGCAGCCCAGGGCTTTGCAGTGCTGGGAAGGCTGGAGGCTGGGAGGAGGGGAGGGAAAACCTGCAGGGACGGGTCTGCGGAGCCCCCAGAGCCTCACCCAGGGGTGCCGAGGGTGGGTGCAGCGGGCAGGCCAGGCTCCCTGCGGCAGACAGCATGGCACAGCAGCAGCCTTGGAGAATTTTGCAGGAGGGTGGGTGACATTAGCTGTGTCCCAGCCAGTGCTGCCCCGGTAGGAAACGCTGCCTTCCCCTGCTTGCCCAGGGGCACAGGCTGGTTTGTGCAAGAGGTCCCAGTGTCCCAGTCTAGCCCCAGTCCCAGGTTGTATAAGGAAATAAACTCAGCCAAATTCACTCTTCCAAAGTTTGCATTTATTGAGGGGCAGCTAAAATTATCCCTCAAAATCCCCCTTGGGATCCCTCAAAAGCCTTGGGTTCTGGTAAAGCCTCATTCCTCCCTACAAACACCACACACCAGCATACTCCTCCCCATCCAAACCTGGCCCAGGTGCACCCAATCTTATATCCAGGAGCAATTAAGTGAGCAACACAGCAATTAGTGCCGTACCCACCCTTCGTGGTCCTACTCCATATGACCCTATAGCAATCCCTGTAACCCTATACAGGGGGGAGAAATTAGCATCTGGTATAGGCTCCCTAGCAAGATACTTCCCACTCTGGACCATCCTCAGCCTGGCCATGGCTGTGAGAGGATGCTCTCCAGCCATTGCAAGGCAGTTTTTAAAGGGCAGATCTTTCCCAGAGCTGCGCACTCAGCCTCTGCGAGCACCTTTTCCAGAGGACTGAGTCTCCCCTGGGGTCCTGAGAGCTGAGGCTTTGTATAGTTTGTGCCCTGAGGGGTTAAACGCTGGGAGATCTGGTCTGGAAAATGAAAAGACTGTCTTTGGAAATTCCAGCCTGACGTGGGATGGTGGGTTGGTGGAGGGAGGAAGGGTCTCCATTGGTGCAAGGCAGTTGGCAGCTCTGCCCGGAGCTGCTGGAGCAAACGAGCTGGTTGCAATGAAACACAGGAGCTGGTTGCAATGAGGCGCAGCTGCTCCGTGCAGGTGTCAGCTGCCTCCCCAGATCCACCCTCCGCCCTCCCAGGAGCCTTCATAGGCTCAGCAGGAGGCACGGCATGGGGACTTGGTGCTGCTTGGGAGACCTCCCCTTGGGTAGGTGAGAGGAAGGAAGCAGCAGGGAGAGGAGGAGCTGAGGGTGAGCGAGGGTTACTGCTGGCAGAGAGCAGCTCCTGGGGTTTCTGGGCTGGTTGCCCCAAAGTTGAGGAGGTGCTGAGGTTCGGCAGCTGGATGGGGAAGGTCCTGGGCAGTTTGCAGGGTGTGATGGATGGGGAGTGTGGATGCACGGGGTGGGAAGGGTGTGTTGCTTGTGGGGTGGCCCATTTTGCTGCTACCTAGGAGCAGAGCAGGCTGGTGTTAGCAAAATAGCTGGTTCATTTTGGGAGGCTTTTTAGCTGGAGAGGTGGATGTGAGCTGTGTTGTCTCTGTGGGGGAGGAATGCCCCCTTTGCTCTCCGCAAGAGCTGCATGGCAAAGGGCTGTGATCCTGCTGTTTCTGGGGTTGAGGGGTGGGGATGCCCCATTCCTCTGTAGGGTTTATTTGTTGCATGTGGCTTGGTGTCCTTGGGGTGGCTTGAAAACCCTTTCTCCTGCCCTGTCCACCTATTAATCTCTCTCAAGAGTGTAACTTATTCTTCATCTCCCTAATGGACCTGCTCCATCCCTGGTGGGGCTGAGAGCTGTGAGAAGTCTGAGCCTCTTCTCTCTATTCCCTGCCTGTCTCCAGTTGTCCTGGGTGAAACCCACAGGGAGTTAAATTCACTGAGCCACTGTACCAGAGCTATCCTCTTCCCACTGCCCCGAGTTCTGGGGCTGAGCAGGTCCCTAGCAATGTGCAGGCAAATGCCTGGGGAGGGGGCCCACATGGAGGCAATGGAGCTTGAAGCCCCATGGGGGGAGGACACCGGCTCTGCAGAGGGGATGTGGCCCTGGCACGAGGCGCTCGGCAGCGTGTTTCGCTGAGTGGCTGCAGCGCTGTGTTAAGCCCTTGCACCCTGCATTCACTGTGAAGCTGCTGCTCAGTGTGGGGCTGTTCCTGGGGACTCTTTCCAGTCCCTCATCCTGTGGGCTGTGCAGGTTTATCTGCCCAGGATTTTCCCTATACGCTTTTCAGGTCTGTCTCAATGTATACCCCAGCCAGGAGCCCATCAGCGCTGCCCTGGGAGCATTGGGGCTGTCCCGATTGTTCCTCCTCTCTGAAAATTCCCCCCTCTGCAGCGAGGAGCTCTCTCCTGTTTGCTGCCAGGCCCTGCAGCAGGGAAGGCAGCTGGAGGGCTGCCCGCAATGGCAGCGATGCCCAGGAAAGCTGGGCTCAGCAGGTTGGTGGGTGGCCCCGTGACCCTGGCCGTGCTCGCAGCAGAGCTGATGGAGGCACTGAAGCTTCGGGAGCCAGCCAGCGCTTCCCTGCCATCCCCCCACTGGGGAGGACCTGGGCTTTGGGCTTATTCCTGGCTATTGGGGAGAGGCGGGGGAGGACGGGACATGGGGTGGGGACCACGTCTCCCCACGCAGTCTGCCTTCCCGGAGGGATGTCTGGGAATGGGACGGTGCTGAGCTTGTGCAAAACGGATTGGAGAGGCTGGGTGCCTGCTGGGGCAGAGGGCTCATCGGGTGGCACCTGCTTGTCCTCATCCCTTTGGGTAAGGAACCAACTCTTACAGCCACCCCTTGAGTTGGGTGTGCGCTGGGGGCTGTGCTGAGAGCCCCTGGGGACACCATGCCATTGGCTGATCGTGTTGCCGGCACAAGAGGTTTCCTTTAGTTCATCCGTGGTCCTTCTGAAGTGATCATTCTGTGCCCTCGTCCTCTCCTTGGGGCAAGGTGGGGTGCAGAGCTGGCACCTCAAGAAGCTGGGCTCAGCCTCTGTGGTTCCCAGCCGCTGGTGTGATGCACCGACACCAGGACCGTTGTCCTGCTGATGCTGAGTGCTGAGCAAATGGAGCAAGGGGCTCCTCTGGCCCAGGGGCTGGGGCCAACACCCAGCACCCCAACGCAGATCTGCAAGACAATACTCCAGGGATTTCAGTGTGTTGACCAGGAGGTGGCCGGCAGGAAGGGGGGCTGTATGAGAGCTGTTTGGTGCCTGTGTGCCACCTTGTATGGCTGGAGGCATGGCTGTGCTCTGAGCCCTGGCATGGACCATGTGAATCTCCAGCTTTGCAGCCGTGCCTCTCCTCCAGCACGGCGGAGGGGAATTGTCTCGTCTCGGGGAGTGAGCAGCTGGAGGGTGTGAGCGGGCGAGGGGATGAGCAGGAAGCAGGCAAGGCTTTCCTTCCGTGTGTTCTCGCTAATGAAAACCAGGAGCTGTGCAACCTCAGAGTGCAGCAGTGCCTTGTGAAAATGGCATCGCAGAACTGTCTGGGTGTTCTCCAGCATGCCCCTTTGCTGGGATTCCCTGGGAAGGTGGATGATGGTGGCAGGGGCCAAGGCATGGAGACCAGGGAGTTCTGGCTTTAACAAGGGCTATGTCTGGCTGATTCAGCAATGCCTAGGTGGGATGCCTTCCCCTCTGAGTGGCAAACGTTAGGTTTGGACTTTGTTCAGAGTGAGCATGTAGTGTACGCAGAAACTCCTTGGACTTCCCACCTCTCTGTCCTGAAGTTTGTTTTTTTTTTTTTTTTTTTAAGGATAGTGCAGGCCAGGAGGTCTCCTGCCAACCAATTTCTTGTTTGAATGGGGTGTTGACAGCTTGATTGCAAAGTGTTGCTTTGAGGTGGTATTTGCCCTCCCAAGGGGCAAATGTGATGGTGCATCCCAATGGCAACAGTCTCTCTCCTCCAAGCTGGATGCAATAACTAGCGTTCTGGCTTCTGTACTGTTTTCTGGTGCTCACAGAGGCCCTGACTGATCTCCATCAAGGCCCTTCATGTCTTTGCCTCAGTTTCCCCGAGAGGCTTACCTGTCCCTGTGATAGCGCTATGTCTGCAGCTGTGGAGTGACTCCTAGAGTGAACTTGCATTGCATTTAGCTGCTGGAGCCCTTTTTCCTCATCTGAGTCTATTCCTGTCTCTCACTTTCAGTCTCAAACAATGAACTACGTGGGGCAGCTTGCCGAGACCGTCTTTGTCACAGTGAAGGAGCTGTACCGGGGTCTGAACCCCACCGCCCTGACGGGCTGCATCGATGTGGTCGTGGTGAGGCAGCCTGATAACTCCTTCCAGTGCTCCCCGTTTCACGTGCGCTTTGGAAAGCTGGGTGTGCTGCACTCCAAGGAGAAGGTGGTAAGTGGTGCCTGCCCTGGGACTATGCTTCCTCCCTGGTGTCTCCAGACCTAGGATAACCTTCCATAACCTGGGGGTTATGGAAGAACTTTGTTTGACAGGAATGGGACCCCTGCTGAAAGGTGTGCTTGGAATTTTTCGAGGGGATACCCCAAATGGAACCTGTCCTCTTCCAGGGAGGACTGTGCTTCTCAGGAAAACTGGGAGAGATCCCTTGCCTCAAAGGCTCTGTGGCTGTCAGCCCTGCAAGCACCCCAAACCCATCCCCTCCCTGGGGAAGTGCCTTCCTGTATGCTGATGGGTGAGTGGGTGAACAGGCTTCTTCTGCCCCTTGCCAGGTTGACATTGAAATCAATGGGGAGCCTGTGGACCTGCACATGAAGCTGGGTGACAACGGAGAGGCCTTCTTTGTCCAGGAGTCAGAGGAAAATGAGGTTGGTGATGAAGAGGTGCTGCTGGTCTGTGTCCTGCTGTGACCACCTGGAAGTGCAGGCTTGAGGTGGAAGGACCAGGTTTGGACTGCTCTTCTTCCCCAGGGCAACTCCATTATCCCCTCTGTTTTGTGTGTCCGGAAAGGTTTCTGCTCAAAGGACCTTGTAAACAGCGTGGAGAATCTGGGCACTGGAGCACCCTGAGGGAGCACTAGACCAAATATCTGTGTCTCAGACTGTCTTCCCTCCCTGGGCATGGCTGCTGGCCAGCCAGGCGGATATCTCGGAGCTTGGCCTCTTGGGGTGTCTTGTGACAGGGATGAGAGTGAGCCAGATGCTGTGGCATGCTGCCCGCTCTACTGGGAAGCGGGATGAGACTGGTGGTGGCTTCCAGAAACCTTGGCAGCTCTCTCCCAGGCTGACTTGTGGTTGCTGCTAGCTTGGGCTGGGTTTGAGAGCAGGGAGAGGGCTCTGGAGCTGAAGCCCATTTGCAGCCTTTGTAATTCTGGTCTCATGGTGCCATCTCCTGCCTGCCTCTCCTTGCCTGTGTTAAAGATGTCTTTAGCTTGTGGATGGATAACCCTGGTTTTGGGTGGGTTTTGTTGGTTGTTTTGGTTTTTTTTTGACTTGCATGTTGCATGTATAAAACCTTTCCTTTTGGGCCTAGCCACAAAACGACCCCCAAGCTGAGGTGGTGTTGGTTGTGCTGGTGACGTATGTTGCATAGATGAGAGCCATGAGCTGCCAGGTTGGAAAAGAGGATGGGCTCTTCCATCCCTGTTGCAGGGCAGCATCCTCTCCCACCTCTGCACGTCCCCCATCCCCACGGAGGAGAGCCCAGAGGATGCTGCTCAGCCCTCTCATGGACAGGAGACCTCCAGTGCTGAAGCGACCCTGCACAAGAGAAGGCGACGCAGAAGGAAGCCCAAGCGGCAGGAGGTGTTGGACTCTGAGTTAGAAGGCTGCGAGGAGACCAAAAGCGAGGTGTCTATGGAGGAGCCATGCAAGCTGCCAGCCCCCAGGTGAGTGGCTTGGTCTGGGCAGGGTGATGTGGTGGGTTGACGCTGTAGGTTTGCTTGGTGATGCCCAGCAGTACTGAAACATGGGGTTAGTGTTTTGAGTTGGACCCCAGCCTCCTTTGGAGTAGAAAGCCAGTGGAAATGGTGAAGTTGGGTATTGCCAGCTTCCCAGGTGAGGAGGCTGGTGCCCGAGAGCAGCATAACTGACCTCTTTCCTCCTTTGCAGTGATTCAGTGTATTTCTCCTTCGCTGATCTCCCTGAGGAAGAAACCAGGTTGTTGCAGTCCCCAGAGATGCACCCTTACTCTGACGGGGAGCTGGCCTCCGTGGACAGGTAACAGGCAGAGCTAAGGCGATCTGCTCAGCTTTGGTGAGAGCAGGGGATGTGCCTTGTGGCTGGGAAGGTGGTAAGGAAAAGGGATTTGGGGGTGTCAGGAGAAGGAGGGTTTTCCTGGCCTGATGTGGTGCGGCTGGAGGAAAGCTCGGAGCCAATGAGGGATGCTTCTGGCCATGGTCACAGATGCAAGAAGCTGGCGTGCACAGGGCTCTCCTGCCTCTGCTGCTGAGCTGCTTCTGGACAGCCAGTGGCATAGCACTTTGCTTCCTTGGGCCTCAGCTTCCCATAGGTCTTGCTTGTTTGTAGGTGATAGTCTTATGAGGCAGAACAGACTTTATGGGAAACCAACCTTACAGGGTTCTTGGCCCTAAATGTCCTTGCAGTGATAGGAAGCATAGGGCTGTAGGGTAGATGAGCTCCAACATTCCCTTCTCTTCTTGTAGCCCCACCTTGAGCCATCCATCTTCTCCCAAAAGTGACTCTGAGCTGGAGATCAGACCGCAGGAGAGTTTTGCTCTAGGGGCTGAATCCCATGTGCAGTGGACCTGGGGCAGGCTCCCTCAGGTGAGCCCCTGCTCTTGCTCTTCTCTAGCAGCTGGTGGGAAGGGGTTGTCTGAAAGGCTTGCAGAAAGTGGTGGCGGCTGTGGTCAGGCAGCCTTAGAGGATGTGTCCTCTTCTGCCTGATGCTTTGGGCAACTTCCCATCCTCAAACCTGTTCTTCTGCTTTCTTTGAGGTGAATAAATTGGAACGAGTTGAACCAGCCAAGTCCGCAAAGACCTTTGCTACTGCAGCAACTACTGTCTCTATGACACCAGTCCCAGTGGATGAGGCAACCCATCTTGTTGCCACCTGTAAAGGTCTGGGAAGAGTTCCAAGCCCAGCAGGACATTGGGGTGCACCTTGTTCCTCTGCTGTATCCGTTGTTGAGCCAACGCCCACATCCCAGGATGAGAATGGCCTCTCCAGGCTGAAGGACATCCCCAGTGCCGTGGGGGCAGAGAGCTTGTTGGAGGCCTCCTCAGCACCACAAGAGAAACAGGAGGGAGGCAGGAGTGTTGTGCCAGAGGTTCAGCCAGATGTGGAGCCCTTTGAGGGAGCTGCTGCTCTGAGGCAGGTGGGCTTGGAGGGCCCCAAGCCCCAGCTGGAAAACCAGAGGAGACAAGGTGAGTGGGTGACTGGTGCTGCTGGAAGCAGTGTCTGAGCCTGCAGATGTATCTGACTTGGATGGGTGCCTGGGTTGTTCATTCAGTATAACTCCTTCATGATTGCCCTGGGTACTCAAGGTGTGACATACTTTCTTTGCCCTTTCTGTGTGCTAGCAGCTCCTTTGCTTTGAAGAGACATTCCTCAGGTTTCTTCCTTTCAGTGGCCACCCAGCTCCCCAGGAAGGTTTTCTTGCCCTATATTTCCTGAAGTCCATCCTTGGATGTCTCTGCTTTTGCATGCTTAGAAGATTTCTCAGCAGTGTAGACTTGAAGTGTCTGGCAGCACCTGGCCTGACTTGTGCCTTCATCCCAAGCACACCAAGTCAGGTGGAAAATCACACAGAGCGAAGCATGCATATGTCTCCCTTGACAGTGTATATAAGGACGTTTCTGTTGTTACCTGTCCTAACCAACCTTACTCTTCCAGCCAGCATAAATTCAGAACAAAATTGTCTCCCTGAAGAAGAGATGTTGGTGATTCCTCACTGTACAAAAAGGGAGATCACAAAGTGTTATCTTGCATGGTGCTAACTTCAAATGGCACCTTTGGATTGTCATAGCAGAACATAGGCAGGACTTTCACCTGTCCTTTGTGTCCTCTTGGCAAGTGGCCTCATGCCAGTGCAGGTGTCTTGAGGTACTTCTGTTGCTGTTGATTTAAGGCAGCTTTTCAAGTATGAAAAGAGATGCCCTCTTTATATGATATATGAATATGATAGAGGAAAATGCTGTTAGCTTTCTTGATTGATGCTGAGATGGTTGGAAAGGTGATTCAGCTAAGCTGTCTCTCTTCTGTCTGTGCATTGAGGATCCATCAAAAGAAGTCCTCACTTGGGTCCCAGTGATGTTTACCTGGAAGACCTCTCCAACCTGGATGAAGGGCAGGTGGCTCTCTATTTCCCCAGGAGGTATGGGTTGCCCCAGCTGGCCAAGCTCAGACCTTCTTGAGCAATTCCCTTACAGCAAAGGACGGAGGTATGTCTAAAGCTATTGCCTGATGTTGCCACTGTTTCTTCTCTTGCTGGTAGTGACACAGAGCAGAGTTCAAAGTCTGTGGCAGACCCCAGCGACCCTCTGTGTGTCCAGCTGCCATCCAACTTGCCCACTGAGAGCCCCACGGACTCCGACTCTGATTTGATGCCTGCAATTGCCCTGTCGCTGTGCGGGGGGCTGGGGGGCAGCAGGCAGATCTCTCGCGGTAGGTGGGAGAGGAGGGGGAATCTGCTGTCCTGAAATCCATTACATACACCAGTGGCATGACACAGCCTCTGTCCCACCAGAGAAGTTCATGGAGCACATGGTCTCCTACCAGCAGTTTTCTGAGAATCCAGGACTCATCGATGACCCGAACCTGGTGATACTGATCAACAAGAAGTGAGTGGCCTGCTCTTCCTGCTGCTTCATCCCAAGATGACCAGTATGGCCCCTTTGTCCCTACAGAAACACTCCTGTAGGAGTGCAACTCCATCCCAGACAATGATTATACTGCAGTACCTGTGGGAGGGGACCTTCTGGCCATGCTGCAGGATGGTGATCTGGAAACAGCCCTCGCTCCAGGAATGGTGATGTTCCCATCCCTCTTGCTTTTTCCAGGTATTACAGCTGGGCAGTGGCTGCTCCCATGGTCCTGTCCTTGCAGGCTTTCCAGAGGAACATTCCTGAGGTCAGTGGCACAATACATTTAGTGGCCATGCTTCTCAGCAAGGGCTTGAAGAGTGCAGTGGGGGTGCAAAAGGCCAAGCTGCCCATCTGGGGCTTTGTGCGCAGTCTGGGGCAGAGCTGAACATTTCTCCAGCCCACAAACCCTGAGGTCTGTCCTTCCCCCCAGAGGGACCTCAGGGTGGCTTGAAGATCCCTGGGCACCACTGATGCCTGGAAAGCAGAGATTTCCGTCTCAAAAATCTCCTATTCTGATGGTTGTATCTGTTCAAGGCTGGCCAGAGCCAGTGGCCCTGGCAGGCTGGAGGATTTGGCACTGCATGAGGCCGTGCCAGGGCTCTGTAGACCTGGCTGGGGTTGTTTGGAGTAAGGCACCCAATATCTTTTTTTTTTTAAGCTGCATGAAGGGAACAAATCATTGTACCCTTCACCCCAAAACCACCTCAGCTCACAAGCAGTCACATGTCTTATCCTGTGAATAATTTTGCAAAGGAAACCCTGCCTGGACAAGAGTCTCCTTAGCTTGTTGGCAGCTGAGCCTCCCTGGGCTGAGGACTTCATTCCATGTTCTGCCATGTTCACAGAGCACCATTGACCAACTGGTGAAGGAGAAGATGCCCAAGAAAGGCAGCAGGTGGTGGTTCTCCTGGAGGAGGAAAGAATTCCCGTCAGAGGAGGTGTGTTTGCAGCAGTGGCTGTGACAACTGTGTCCCCAGGGGACAGGCGTCATTCTGGTGGCTGGCAGGGGTGGGAATAGAAGAGCAGCAGGGTCCTGGGGATGGCCTGAGGCTGACTATGAGGGCAGCCAGAGGGACCTGTTGGCAAGGTGGCTTCTGAAGGTTGCTGCTGTCCCCTTGGGTCTGTTAATGCCTGCCAGCAGAACACCACCTGGTAATGCGGTAACATGGACCTTGTAACGGTGAGACCTCTTGCCACGTGTCCCTCATGCCACAGCCCAGGCACCACATGTGCTTGCTGGTCTCCCTGCCCCACCACAGCACCAGGTTGTGGTTCCTCTTCCGTGGGGCAGTGTCCTCATGGAGGCAGGGGGATGCATTGCCACCTTTTCTGGTATCGCTGCTCCAAGCGGTAGTAAAGCAAAGCAGCCCCTGCTCCTGGCCTTGGCACTGAGATGCTAATGACACCTCTCTCTGCCTGCAGCAGCAGTCAAGGCCAGGGAAAGCCAACGTGGGGATGCTGCAGCCTGACTCTGCTCAGCAGAGGTGAGTGCCTCCCTCCCAGCTTGCCTTCAGGAGTCTGTGCATGCTCCTGATCTCTCCTCCTCCTAAATGGCCAGTTATTCCCAAGGCTACCTAATGTATGAGGGCAGAAAGCTCTTTTAAGGCTCTGGCTGACCCTGGTCCAGCCAAGCTCCTCTATGGCTGCTTTCTGGTGGGTGGGTTGTCCTGGATCCCCTCCAGATCTCCTCTTGCCCTCATGGGGAAAGCTGTGGTCTGCAGAGTAAAGCCAACATGCTATTCCCTTCTTTGTATAGGCAGCAGGAAGAGCAGTCATCCAGTGATGATGAGCCCCTGCACCCTGGGGACACGCTGGCAATGGATGCCCCTGCACGGAAATCTCTGCCAACGTACAAGAAATCCTTGCGTCTCTCCTCTGAACAAATTGTATGTACTTTACTCCTCCTCCTCCTTCACTGCCTGCTTGTGTGTGTAGGGGTGAGGCAACCCTTAAACAAGGATTTCTCTACTCCTGAACTCATGTTTTTATAGGGCATTCAAGTATTTTGCCCCGGGTGGCCAACCTGTAGAGGCTTGGGGTCTCTGGTCTGGCCGGGTGGCAGCCTGGCCTCTGGCAAGCCCTGGACTGGTGTGAATTGGTGCCGGTGTGACACTTTTGTTCCCTTTCTGCCACAGGGAAGGCTGAATCTGCAGGATGGCCCCAACGAGGTAGCATTCAGCGTGACAACTCAGTACCAGGGCACGTGCCGCTGTGAGGCCACCATCTACCTGTGGAACTGGGACGACAAGGTGGTGATCTCGGACATCGATGGCACCATCACCAAGTAAAGGGCCCTTCTCCCACCCCACATCCCTGCTCCCCCCGATTAGGGGAAAGTGTCCTTTCAAGGCTTGCGTAAGCAGCCAGGAGGGACCACAAACGCCATCGCCTTCCAGACACCCACCAGGTTGGATCATCCTAACCTGGTCTCCTTTCCTTCTAGGTCAGACGCTCTTGGGCACATCTTGCCGCATCTGGGAAAAGACTGGACTCATCATGGGATTGCTAAGCTCTTCCACAAAATCCACCTGTAGGTATTGGATCAACTGAGGCCAAGGGGAAGTGAGAGGATGATGGAGAGGCTGAGTGGGAGCCAGAGTCAGTGCTGGCCAAAATCAGCCTAATTTTCTGCTGTCTGGGATGGCTGATGCTTGCTGTGCTGTCTGGATGATGTTGGGGGGTGAAAGCAGGGGGCTTGCACTGGGAGCAGACTCCTGCCTTGCCTTCCCTGGGAAGTGTGTGTCTCAGGAGACTTTGCTGGGGAGATAAGATCACACAAGATCATAGAATCATAAATGCTTTGGGACGGAAGGGACCTTTAAAGGTCATCTACTCCACCCCCCCTGCAATGGGCAGGGACATCTCCAACTAGATCAGCTTGCTCAGAGCCCCGTCCAACCTGACCTTGAATGTTTCCAAGGATGGGGCATCTACCACCTCTCTGGGCAGCCTGTTCCAGTGTTTCACCACCCTCATCAAGAAAAATTTTTTTTTTCCCTTGTGTTCAGTCTAAATCTATCCTCCTTTAGTTTAAAACCATTACCCCTTGTCTTGTCGCAGCAAGTCTTGCTAAAGACTATCCCCATCTTTCTTGTAGGCCCCCTTTTAAGTACTGAAAGGCTGCGATAAGGTCTCCCCGCAGCCTTCTCTCCTCCAGGCTGAACAACCCCAGCTCTTTCAGCCTTTCCTCATAGGAGAGGTGTTCCACCCCTCTGATCATTTTTGTGGCCAAAAACTCGCACCTGAGAGGCCACAGGCACAGCTGAATACCTTCGGGGGTCCAGGCAGCACTCCCAGGCCCGTGGATCGGGGCCGGTTGCCTCTCCGGGCTGCCACCCACACCCCTGCGGGACCGAGCCGCCCCGAGCCCTGATGCTGTCCCCGCACCCGGCGGAGCCCGGCGGTGGGTCCCCGCGGAGCCCGGCCTTCAGCTCCGTCCCCGGCACCTGTGGCCACTAAGAGGCACTGTGGGCCCGCGGATGGCTCGTCCGTGGGGGGGGACACGGGGCTCCCGCTCCCCGGGGCGCTGGGAGCCTGGGGCTGCCCTCGCTGTCACCTCCGATCCCGCAAGAGCACCGCACCCCTCTGCCCGAGGTGCCCATCAGCTGTGCTGGCTGCCTGAGGGTCTGCAGGGGCTGCGTCCAGCTCCCCACCGGCCGCACGCAGCCCCGGTGCGGTAAAGGTGCTGGCTGGGGGTCCCGGCTGGGCGCACGGGTACGGAGCAGCAAAGGGTGCTTTGCAGCCAGGGTGGGCATGTGGCTGCTGGGAAGGGTCTGGAGGGTGGCACAGGGTCCCCCTCCAGTGCCGCTCCCCAGCAGCGAGGCAGATGGGGATTGGTTTTAGTTTGGGTCCCTGGGTAAGTGAGTTGTGTTGTTTGTGAAGCCACCTTGCTTGCTGAAGGGTGAACAGGTTTGGGCTTAGGCCAGGTACTTGGCCTCCTTCGGAGGAGCAGGAGGGTGCCTCGTCCAGGGCACAGCTCAGAGGGTTTCCCTGTGCTCCCTCTAGGAATGGCTACAAGTTCCTCTACTGCTCAGCCAGAGCGATCGGCATGGCACACATCACCAAAGGCTATCTCAAATGGGTCAATGAGCAAGGCTGTGCCCTCCCCAAGGGCCCCATCCTGCTCGCCCCCAGCAGCCTCTTCTCCGCCTTCCACAGGTACTGCGTCCTCTCCTCCTCCCCAGCCCTGCGCCTCCTGCGTCCCTGGGGATGGCACCCCCCTTCCCTAGCTTGACACTGAGGGACGTCGCAGCCTTAAACTGCTTCTGGCCTCCTTGGTGCAGGATGCCCTTCGTGGGAGGCAGCAGGGGAACTGCCTGCCCTCCCTGGAGCTTCGTGGTGAAGCTCCTGATGCACAAAACCTCTCTTGCCCTTCAAATCACTTCTTTGAGCCCTGGACAGCCTGGCTCGCCACAGTCCTGGCCAGCTGATGCCACTCTGATTCCTGCTCTGTCTTCTGCTGCAGGGAGGTGATTGAGAAGAAGCCAGAGGTGTTCAAGATCGCCTGCTTGATGGACATCCAAAACCTCTTTGCCACGAAGCTGCCCTTCTACGCAGCCTTCGGGAACAGAGCCAACGTGAGCGGGTCTCCTGGGGAGGAGGGAGGGCTCAGGCTGAGGTGATGGTGGTGCTTTCCTGCCGCTCTCACACCTTGCTGGCCTTCCTTGGGCAGGATGTCTACGCTTACAAGCAAGTGGGCCTGCCGGAGAGTCGCATCTTCACGGTGAACCCCAAGGGAGAGCTGATCCAGGAGCTCACGAAGAACCACAAGTCAACGTAAGTGACCTGCTTGTTCCTTAGCATCTTTGGGTTAACCTGGGTTTACCCCAGAGAAGCATCTCATGGGGTCGAAAAACAAACCCCAAGAACCCCAACGCAACTTCTTTCTTGCCCCCATAGGTATGACCGGCTGTCGGAGCTGGTGGAGCTGATCTTCCCTCCCCTGAGCCAGACTGGGAGCGTTGCTCTGGTGTGTCCAGAGTACAGCCACTTTGCCTACTGGAGACCTCCACTGCCTGTCGTTGACTTGGATGCCTTCTCCTGACCCTGTTACCTGTGGAGACCTGACCCAGGGCTCTCCTGTGCATCCTCTGCCAGGACTGGATGCTCCAGGTGCATCTCCTCCTCCCTGTTTGCTGCTCAGGCATTTTGCACTTCTAATATGGGTCATGTTCTGCACTAGAAGCACCCCTTCTTGGGGGCCAGCGGGGGGTGCGAGGGAGCTCTGCCTCTACAAAAACTCCTTGGAAATTCATGTAAGCTGGGCCTGGTCTTAATGTTCTTAACGCTTTTAAAGCCTGGCTCTTCTTTAAAGGTGGTGGTGGGTCACTGTCTTATTTATTGATGAGCCTCTGGCATAGCTATTGCTACCTCCAGTATGACCAGTGTTCCCAGAAGGTCCAGCTACCTGCAGTTTGGTAGCTGGTGGAGCAAAGCTGTCCTCTGGCTTAAGAAGTCGTTAAGGTGGATGGAAGCTGTTGGGCTTTGGAGTGTTCTTCGCTAATAGCAATCATTAATAAATAGTGCCTTAATCCAGGCTGCCTCTTGTCCCCTGTAGCCCTGTGCACGGAAGTGGGAGCCAGGCTCTGTGTCCTTCTACAAACATGGTTGGGTTTATTCTGCTGCAGTGCCCTGCCAAGGGGGTCTTGGTGGAGATGCAGGCAGGACCTGCAGCTTCCTGGGCCTGCAGAGCAACTACACTAAAAAAAGACTTTATTTTTCACCTACTGCCTCACTACCTTCAGATAATGCTGCAAAACCGACTTAATACAAAAAGCAAACCCTGGCTTTATGTGTGTGTGCATGGGGGTGAATCTCCCCTGTGCCAGCAGCCTGCCAGTCTTGTGCCAGGGCAGGAGTTTATTCCTGTGCCCCTGTATTGGAGCATTCAAGGAAAGGTGTTCAGCCAGCCTGCTGCTTCTGCTCTCAGCTCTAACTATGTAAAATAAAATGGGCAGGAGCACTGCTGGGCTCCTTCCTCCAGTCTGGCATCCACCTTCTCCTTCCCTGACTACTGTGTGAGTGTAAATCATCTCCTTTGAGTCTGCCTGCCCCCTTCTCGAAATAGGCTCTGTACTCTATCCCTAGCTCCCCATCTTAACCCAATCCTCATGTTATGCTGCTTTTCTTAAAGCCACACAAGACATTTTGATCCTGGAAACCTCAGCAAGAAATACTTTATTTTTTTTTTTCCTTTCTGGTACAAACACTTTTTCAGCTTTTAAAATCTGAACAAATGTACAAGGTTTTAAAACCAATAAAACACAACTGATCTTGTTAAAAGGCTATCAACTGCCTCAGAAAGCTGCCTG